CATAGAAGGGCCCTATTCTTGGTTTACTACTCTGCTACTGAAGCCTTGAAATTCCTATTCTGAACAAGAAGCCTGAACTTACATTTTGCTCTGGGCCACAATGGTCTAGCTTCCACCTGTCGACGTATAGATAGTTGGCACTCTCCTCCTTAACTCTTTCATTAATTAAAATTAAATACATCAAAACCCAATCAATTTTATGTATTACACATAGATATTGAGAAATCCAGAAAATCATAACCTTGTAAATGTACATTAACATTACATACATTTGATGGACTTTTTAAACTGCTCTTGGTCCCCAAGCCAAGGCATCATCCCCAAAAATCCAGGCTTGCAGAATGTATTTGGTTCCTAAGTCAAAATTTTACCCTAATGGTGCCAGGACTCACATTCTAAGTATCTCCTCTGTGTCTTACACTTTCTCAAACACCTCAAAGTTAGCTGCTATGAAACAGTCTATATGTAAAGAAAGGGAAAGTGAGCAATATTCTTCACTGTATTTCTGTATTGTTATCATTTTCCTTCTATCAGAAAACTTCCCAGTTCTTTTATGGAGTTTTCTCAAAAAATTTTCACTCTCCTCCTAGTGATCACCTAATGAAGAATCTACAATTGGTTGGGTTAGGAACATCAATTCTTTCACTCATTTATTTAATACTTTTTACATTAAATCACTCTACTTCACTTACCATTCTTCTAGGTGCAGAGGATATAGCAGTGAAAAGCCAGAAAATCCTTTCCCTCTGGGAGCTTAAATTCTAGTGGTCATTTCTACCTTTCAGGTTAGTCTGACACATACACTATCAGAACTACAAGCACAAAGCCCATTAATAACAACTTAGACACTTTTTTTTCTAAATACAACAAACACCTTTATTTTTCATAAGCAAAATTTTTAGGGTTTTTTTTTTTTTTTTTTTTAGCTGGAAGGAAATTTTTGATGCCACCAATCTTAGGAATGATACGGTTTGGGGATAAAACACTCTCTTAAAATCAAATTCTCCTTAAATGTGAAATCCATTCATTTATTTCTTTTATAATATTTGTTGTACAGCTTTCAGAATCCCCAAAAGGGTACTAAGTGTCGACTAAAATTACAGCCAAAAACAAACCTGTTAGGGAATATAGCTATGACTGAATTATATTATCAGCTGAGTTGCCCTGTCTCTTGAGATTTAATCAAATTATTTTGAGCTTCCTAAGATATGTCTTATAGAATATTCCATTCTTTTTCCCAAGTACTGTATGAGTTGCTTCTTCCTTAAATTCTTGTTCCCACTTCTGTTTCCAAGTTGCTGAGATACACATCTCACTTTTATAACTGTTTCCTCTTAGTTTGCCAATCCAGTTGTAAAATACAGTTCTCATCAGTGGACAGAGCATGTATTAGAAGTTTGAAAAGGACAGAAGTCTTTTGCACCACATAACTTACAAGTGAATACTTTAATTTTTTTTATTATTATTACTTAGCAAGAACTTTGGTTCTTTCTTAAGAACTGCCCTTTATCAATTATTTGGATCACCCTGAAAATCAAATCTTTTTCTAAATCAAATTTCCACATGAAGTCTAGCTCCAGACAATGATTCTTAGGCTATTTTCACTTTTATATTTTCCTCTTTTTTGGTGTTTAATCAAGCCTCCAAATTCCTATTCTTTTATTATCAGTGTAGTTTAGCTGATTTTTATTTTTTATGTTATAATCGCATATATCAAAATATTTTTTGCAAAAAAAAAAGCCAGTTGTATTTCTTAGAGGTAATTTGCTGTAAGAAGTTTAAAATGACACTTTAAAAACCACTATAAGTAATTGAATGATTTACTATAATATAACACGCGCAAAGGTAGAGAAGTACAGGGTGCTATGGGAATCCATAGAAGAGGTATTTTGGGGAGATTAAGATGGGCTGGCTTCCCAGTTGAAGTGGCACTTAGAATGAGAAGAAAGGAAACTATGTGTTCACAGATTAAGGAAAGGAAAGTGTTAAACACCCAAAACCAAAAGCTGAGGAGACATTTGTAGAAGTGACAGGAATTCAATACACCTTGAGTGTGGTGTGTGGAGTACGAGGAGGTGGATGCAGAAAGGAGGCAAAAGTTGAGCAAGGATATGATCACTAGGGATACTCACTGCAGGCTGTTAAAAAGTTTGAACTTTTTCCTAAAAACAAAAACACTGGAAAGGGTTTAAGCAAAGGGCTAACAATCTGTTCGCTACTTCAG